AGCTAATGTACATAGGGTTGCTATGTGTTGCAGATGTCTCAATGGCTCATAATAATAACAACAATAACACTTGTTAGTAATAGCACTATGTACCAGTTCAATAAAATTGGAATTTTGGGAAGAGGCACAGGATATTACACTGAAGAGAAACGAAACTTAGAATTTCACTTTCCTATGTGTATAATTTTGTAGGCTAATGACTTTTCCTATCCTACAGATAACTTCAATTCAAACAACATCTTTTTAATAGTCTAGATTTGTTAATTGTACAACCATCATCATTTCTCCACATATATATATATTGCTTCCAAGAACAAAACTTAAAGCATATTAGTGTAAATCATACTTACAAGACTGTCCCTGTACTTTGTCTTATTATCCTTAATTTTAGGAATGCATCATTTATAAACTCAACCTCATAGTTGGGGTCTTCAGCTGCAAATGGGGGAGAATCAATATTGAGTGGAACTTCAAATCGTTCATTAGAAGGATCATAAATCTGAAACAAATTAGAAGAGAAAAAGATTGCATTAATTAGAAAATCAAAATGAGTCCATTTTAATATTATCAATAACTAAAATGGGAAAATTGTTTCTATATCTATTATAAGGCCCTTAATCACATACTACACCTTCCATTTATAAACTCATCAACAACCTGTGTTAAGCAGATGATACAGCCTTGCTTGCAGAAAGTGAAGAGGGCTTGAAGCACTTGCTGCAGAAGATTAGAGACTATAAGACTGCAACCTAGAATCTGGACCTCACCAACATGCAATACCATGATAGATGGGAAAATGATTGAAAGTGTCAACAAATCAAAGGGCATTGTCAAGAAACCAAAGGATGTTGTTGCATTGTGAAAATCTGCTGTCAACAACCTCTCTCCAAAGTATGAGAGCTGCTGAAAGACAAAGGTGAGTCAGAATCAAGTCAAGGTGTTTTCTATTGCTTTATATGCATCTGAAAGTAGGACAATGAATAAGAATGACTGAAGAATTGATATCTTTGAACTGTAGTGTTAGAGAAGAGTATTGAATATCCTATGGATTGTCAAAAGAACAAACAAGTCAGTGTTGGAAAAAGTGTAACCAGGGTATTTGAGAGGCAATAATGGTGAAACTTTGTCTCACATACTTTGAACACACATCAGGAAGGACCAGTCCCCAGTAAAAAAAACAACAAAAAAAAACCCCTACAAAACAACAAGAACAAAAACCTCATCATTCTGGGAAAGACGGAGAGCTAGAGAAAAAGAGGAAGACCTTCAATAAGTTGGGTTGGCAGGGACTGTAACAATGGGTTCAAGTACATCTCAGATTGAGGATAGTGCAAAATAGAGTTCAGATCTGTTGTCCATAAGGTTACTATGGGTTATACATAGTTGACTCAGTAACACCTAACAAGAACAATTAATAAACACTGTAATGTTGCAAAAATATATACAACCAATACAGTTACCTTAAATCGAATCCTATCCTTGGTATGATATTCTATATCCATTGCAACTGGGGAAATGTCATCTCCAAACAAGGTTACAGTGTCACGTTTGCTCAGTAATACCCTATAAGATAAAGCAATTTTATTAGTCCAAGAGAAAAAGTTATTTTCAAAAATAAATGGAATTCCTTGAGCATAAAGAATATTTATTATTAGGGATTTTAAAATGTACTTTAACTAGGAAAGAAAATTGGGATAACCACAGAATTATTGAGCAGGTTTTAGAGACTGTTTTGGTTATGTGCTGTCAAGTTACTTGTTTTCTTGATGTTGAGCTTCAAACTGTATTAAAGACTGCTGTCCTTGAACTTCTGCCACAAATGCCTCAGGTCGTCCTCAATTTCAGCAAGCAAAGTTGTGTCATTTGCAGGTTGTTGATGAGTCTTCCTCCAATCCTGATGCCACATTTGTCCTCATAAAGTTCAAACTCCTGTATGATCTGTTCTGCATGCAGATTGAAAAGGTATGGCAGGAGAATGCATCCATGATGTAACTGTCCAAAGGATTTCCTGTAGTCATGTTTAATTGGAATGTCAATTTTTACTTTTTAAAACTGGGTTTGCAATCAATCAATGGACTACTATCACTGAAGCCCCAGATATATACCCTCATTTCCATAGTTTGTTCTCTCTCCTAACCTTACACAGCTGTCAGACCCCATTATAGTTTCCATCTGCTGGAATCTCCTATTTACCACTATCATTACTACCACCACCAGCCATCCATCACGTCTTCAAATGGCAGATTTAAGGAAAGAGATCCTTCTCTGCTCTACTGTCACTAAGATAAAGTCTTGATTAACAAAAAGACCCAAACCCACTAATACTGATCCGGATTCACAGTGACAGCCAGGCTCCGTCAGATATGAAGCTGTTGATCTTAATAGGAGGAGATTGCCTATCTTTCTCCCACAGAAACACTGACTGACTTACTTATTTTTCAGCTAGCCTTGCAACATGTAACACACTACATCACCAGACTTCCTTACATTCTTGATCCATTGTTTGCTTCTACAACTATTTTTTTGCTCTAGAAATTTCTACAATTCAAAAGTCTGATTTACAAAGAATCCATTTTGATATGGGAAACAGCCTAAGGTGATTCAACGATCTAGTTGATATTTAACGAGATCTTCCAGACCTAGCATAGTACAAAATGCAAACTCCAAGTTACTGCCATGGAGTCCATTCCAACACACAGTGACCATCCACCAGGTTTTTAAGGCTGCAAATTGCAGTGGGAGGAGACTGCTCTTCTTGTCTCTGCAAGGGGTTTGAACTGCTGAAGGCATATTGTCTTTGAGTTAGCAGTGCACCTTCCTCTGGGGTGCACTGCCAGTCCCAGACTCTAAAGTCCATTACTATTAAGTAAGAACTGACTCATAGCTAATGGTCCATTGTGTTTCCAAGGCTGTAAATCACAGAGGGGGAGACTGCCCATCTTTCTCCTGGGGAGCTGCTGATAGCTTCAAACTACCAGAGAGGGTTGGCAACTCCCTACAGACGAAGTCACTAGAGACACTCATAAATATGCCATAGATGGCAAGACTGTCTATCCTTTGGAGTTTTATTGAATTGTCCAGTGTCCTTCTGCTTCTCTGGCAGTTCCTCTTTTCATGTAATCCCTGTGTCCAGCCAGAATTTAATTTGACTATAATTTATCTGATTGGTTTTTATTTATTTTTTTGTTCCATTTTAAGGTTCAGTGCTAAGCTCTTTTTATTTTATTTTCAGGTTTTAATCTGTATTCAAAACATCCCCCAAAATGGTCTCTGCTCAAATCTCTGACTCAAATGAAAGACAAATTTGGAGTAACAGAAAATAGCATATAATGTAAGTTAGCAACCAAGCTCTATTTTTGAATCTGTAAAATAGCCTGCCTTCTTCAATACGGAGCACTTTCAAAATCAGGAGCAATCAAAGCAAAAGATAGTGATTTTTCCCCCTTTCTTTCTTTCAACTTGGAATTCCCTCTGTTTCTTAGACTAATGCTTCCCATCTTGCTGAAAATCAGTCTCATTGGCCAGATCCCACCCTCTGCTTCCTTCTCTTCTATCTGCAGTCATTTTACCTTTTGTTTTTAGAGCATAGTCCTGTAAATCTCTACTGTTGAGGAAAATCATGAAATTTTATATTACTACCTGGTAAGAAACATCACTGAAATACACATTTTGATAATTTTCAAAGTCCTGGTTCTGAAATCTAAAGAGAAAAATATCCTAAATATGGCAAATAGAAATTGAGGAAAATACAGCTTTTATAACACTTTGCTGAGTAAATGCACAATTTTACCTATTTCGTATGTTACACAGAAAACTGTTCCATTCTTCAAAATCAAGAATGTAGTCTATGAATTTTAGCACATTGACCTGGATTTTTTTTTTCTCTTATAAAAATCTTTATAAAAGGAAAAGGCATTTATCCCTTTTGCCTTACAAAAGAACATCAATGATATTTATTTTTTTGCACTTATTAATTAGAATATTTATTCTTGTCACATTAAAATGTGATTTATGATGCTGTTATGAGATTTTTGTTATGAGGACAGTTTTTTAAATTTCATTTCACTGAAAACAAATTGCTGTGGTACTTGAATGCTCACCAAAAGGTCCCAAACACAGTAGCCTATTCATGGCAGAAAGATGAGACAGTCTGCTTCCACAAAGATGTATAGTTATGGAAACTCTGTCTTATATAGTCACTATATATACTCAGTACTTAATGAAATGAGGTATGGTTCAAAGAAGATGTAACAAAAAGAAAAGGCTATTTTGAGAAGATTTACATAATGGAATAAAAGACAAAAGAGTTTTGCCTTTATTCACCTTGTTAGCAATGAATCACAACTATTACTCCAAATAGTGATCATTTCTAACTATTAGGCAGGACCCACAAAGCTGAAACAAGAGAGGTGCAACCTTCCTTCATCAGGTGAGTTGTAACAGTAAGTTAGAAATGAAAACTATTAGCAAGTTAAACCCATGCATTTCATTATTTTTCCTTTTTTATGTATTTTCTGCTCATTCATTTCCAATGCTCTTTCCCCCACCGCTCAAATTATGTATTTTATATTTTGATTCACTACAAAAGCTCCTTGGAAGCAAGGATTTTGAAGCTTCACCTGACATACTTTGGACATGTTGTAAGGAGGGACCAGTCCTTGGAGAGGGATATCATGCCTGGGGGCATGGAGGGACAGTGCAAGAGAGGAAGACCCTCTATGAGGTGGATTAATTCAGTGACTGGGGTAATCAGGGTAGGTATGTCAGAGACAATGAGGTTGGCACAGGATAGAGCAGGGTTTAGAGCTGTTGTACGTGGGGTCACTATGAGTCTCAGGTGACATGATGGCACATAACAACAACAACACAAAGGCCCAGAGTTCTCTGGATAAGAAAATAAAAAGAGGAGTCTAAAGGCTCAGAGGTGGCATGCACAATAAATAAAACCATGAGACTGAATCAACAGTTTTAGTAAGTTAGGTAAAACTACCTATTGAAAGCTCTAAGAAATACATACCTCCATCCTTGAGCTATCTTTTGAGGTTCACTCTTTAAATAGTAGCCATATGGACCATCTGCTGAATAAAAGCACCAGGGTACATTGGCAAGGTTTGTAGTACACCAGAAACAGCCTTTAGCTTCACAGGCTTCTTGAGTAGCTCCAGGTTGAGGATAACAGTCAATGCGCTTATTAATAGGAAATTTTGCGATGCATTCAGCTTCTTCTTTGGAGTTATAGAAGCAAAATGGGACAGAGGTATGGTTAGTGGGACACCAGTGACATCCACGGTTTTCACAGGAAATTTTATTTGCCCCTGAGTCTGGATAACAGTCAATTCTTTCAGAGGCAGGAAGCACAGAACACGAATCCAGTTTCTGAAAACACCATGGGATGCCTGGAGTATTATCTGGAGCCCAGCAGCAATTCCTGGCCAGGCATTCCAGTTCAGAAGCCCCAGGTTCTGGGAAACAGTCTTTACGGACACGAGGGGTTACAGTCGAGCAAACATTTGAACTGACAGGCTGGCCTAGAACTGAACCAAGAAGGAAAACAAGGCAGGATAAATAGTCATCTTGAACATACTGTAATCAAACCACTTTTGTCTCATTTTTTAAAGTACCCCTGAATTGCTTAGCTTTTAAATGGAATCATCAGTGATCCTAAAAAACCACTGTAAATCCATCAGTCTAGATTAAACAAGGCAAAGACCTGACCCTTTAAAAAGTCAGCACTAGCATGCAGTCATTCCCTGTTCTCAGCATGTTGATTCTATACTGTCCACACAAACAATTCCTTACTCATTATTATCTCTTGAAAGTAATCAAATGAATTGTAAAGTCGAAACAATTTTCTTTTCTATTTGCTACATCTTCCTTTATTCACTGACCTGATATCAACTGTCAGCTCTGAAATGTCTATACATGCTGCCTCCAAACTAAATGACAAAAAATCCCTCAAAATGTCAAAAATACTGCTTTATTTGTTCATCCTTTTCCTGCTACAGACTTTTAAAAAACCTTTATGTTCCATTTTTTTTTTTTAAATTTAGGTTGTTTATTTTTCATTTCAATGAACATCTACAGAGATTTTGGGATTCCATTCATTCATTGTTGCACCCTTTTTAAAAAGCCTAAATTTGTACTCACATGGTAATGCTTTAGTCCTTTACTTGGGAGTTTGATTATGCTGACAATTTCCTAAATTTCTAAACCTTGTCTCTCTTAAATTGTATTAAAGATCTAAATGCAGCTAAAATTCACCTCCTCAACTGCAAAACCACAAATTGATTGTGATCATGGTTTATTTGACCCAATAGTTAAATATCAGTTGTAAGCAAGATTTTTATCTCCTTTTTGGTTTGATCATAATTATTTTGCAGTTGAAGACCAGTAAGTACAGAACTGTCTTTTAAGTTGGCACACATACTTTTTTTGAGGAATGGATATTCTCATATGTATATTGCTGGTAGAGATGCAAACTCTCACGAATCTTATGGAAATAAACGAATTTCATAATATCTACTAAATTATATATGCCTTTTTTTATCAGAAATCATGATGTATCTCAAAGATTCAAAAAAGACAGTTAAAGATATTATATAACAGCAATTATATACAAAATATTCTTCAAAAACCTGAATGAATAAATGAACTATAACTGTAAAAATTAATGAGAAAAACTCTATACACTGATGACCATGATATAACAATTAGGGAAATTAAGATATACTATTTGTTAAACCACCTGTTCTGTATTATGAGGTACCAATTTATTTTTCTATTTCTGCTTAATTTCAAAAGGAAATAACTGAATGATAAAGGAAACACTAATGTGAAATAGTAACATATCAGAGATTTAAAAATAGAATGAAAAAGATAAGAATCATTCTTTGGCTATATCTTGTGAAGTTCTATGTTGAAATTATGAAAATTATTTTACTTAATTATATAACAAAATTAATTTGAAAATAAAATATAATTATCACAGAAAATTAAAATATATTAAAACAAAGACTTGTTGACAGCAAATTTACTTACAAGAAAGCCATTATTTCAAGTTAATTTAAAAATTTGACTGTAATTTTCTGTACATTCGTAGTGTAAACCACAAAGAAATCTTGACCTGAAACCACTGTTCACTTGTAATTAGTAATATTTATATTTTAACAGTGAAGTTATTAGATATATGAAACAAATAATTTATTATTATCTTTAAGAAATAGTATTTCAGTATGAGAGAGAAGCAGCATAACATTTTTTAAAATAATTCAAAATCTTACAATCTTAATTTGATTTGGAAATATTAATCAAGATATCATAATTCATCTTTATGTCATAAATCTTCATATACCCTAGCTCTACCTATTGGAAATGCTAAGAGCAATTAGTTTGCAACCCCTGCATAGACAATATACAGAGTTTTCCGAACAGAATCATCATGGCTAGCAACATCATAAAATCAAAGTTGATGAGTAGTTTTACCGTAGAAAGATTATGCTGACACCACACAATTCAAGTGATTAATCGTAACATCTCAGAAAGTGAGAAAAGAAGTGATATTGATTTCTGTTTCTTTTTCATTTACCTGTTCTCATTACAAACTTTTTTATGGGGGGGGGTTGGTATTTTTTTCTTATTATTTGTTTGATTATAAAGTTTGTGTACATTGTGTTTCACACTATTCTTCATTCACATTATGTTTCATACAATCATTTCCATTCATTGTGTTTTATAAAATTAATCACCATTGGATTGTACCCATTATTAAACTGTCTTTTTAGGTCCCCACTGATCTTTTCAATTTCCTTTATTCCCTCCCACCAGCCACCAAATTGTGCAATTCTGTGATATTGACCCTACTTATCCTCCATATGCAGTTTTTGTTACTACCACTATATAGTAGGTTCTGAAGACAAGGAGTGCTATGCTTCCCACTTCAAATTTGTTTTTTCCAAAGTGCTTTGCTTATTCGGTGTCTCTTTCCTCTCCAAGTAAACTTGACAATTTCCCTTTCAAACTCCTTGAAAAATTAATTTGGTATCTGGATTGGGATTGCATTAAACATATAGATTGCTTTTGGTAGACTTTCATGTTCATTACACTGAGTCTTCCTATCCATGAACAGGGAACATTTTTCCAATTATTTAGGTCTTTTATCATGTTTCACAGAAATGTTCTATAGCTTTCTTTGTACAGTTCTTTTGTGTCTCTAGTTAGGTTTAGTCCCAAGTATTGCAATTTGTGGTTTGCCATTATAAATGATATTGCTTTCTTGGTTTCCTTCTCTGAGTTCTCTTTGTACTGCAGAGGAATCCCACTGATTTTGGATATTGATCTTGTATCCAGCCATCTTACTAAATTGGTTCACTGCCTCTAACAGGTGTTTTTGGTTTGCTTTTTTTTTGGTTTTTTTTTTTTTTTTTTTTTTTTTTTGTAGTTGTTGAGTTCTTGGGGTTTTCTGTGTACACTATCATATAATTTGCATCTAGTGATGTGTAACCAGCTCTCCAAACTGAATGTCTTTTATTTCCAATACAATATTGAATAGATTGGTGACAGTGAAAATCCTTATCTGGTCTCTGCAAGTAAAATGCTTTTAGTTTTTCTCCATTGAGAATGACATTGGCTCTTGGTTTTACATATGTACTTTTCACTATGTTGAGGATATTCCCTTCTATTCTTATTTTGCTGAATGTCTTAATCAAGAGGGGGTGTTGGATTTTTGTCAAATGCCTTTTCTGCATCAATTGCTAGTATCATACGGTTCTTGTTATTTGCTTTGTTAATGTGAATTACATTTATTTTTTTCTTATGTTGAACCTTATGTTGCAAACCTATTATGAATCCCACTTGGTAGGATGATTTTTTTTGTGTACTTTAGGATTCTATATTGGCTAGGATTTTGTTAAGGATTTTTCTATGTTCAAGAGAGACAGTAGTTTTCTTTTCTGGTTTGTAGTTTTCTTTTCTGGTAATTTCTTTACCTGGTTTTGTTATTTAGGGTTATGCTTGTTTTGTAGAATGTCTCTGAAAGTGCTTCTTCTTTTTCTTTTTTTTTAAAAAATAATTTAAGTAAAATTGGTGATAGATCTTCTCTGAGTGTTTAGTATAATTCAGCTGTGAAGCCATCCAGTCTGGGGCTTTTTCTATGGAGGAGTCTTTTTATGACCTGCTCAATTTCTTCTTTTGTGATGGACCTGTTCAAGTGTTCTGTTCAAACTAAGTAGGGCATGAGAATTTTTTAATTTTCCTTCAGATTTTCAAATCTAAGTATGGATTTTCATATTATACTAATACTATGTTTAATTTAATCTAGTTCTGTTGTGATGTCACCTCGATCATCCCCTAATCAAGTTATTTGTGTCTTCTTTTTTTGTCAAGTTTGTCAATTTTATTGACCCTTTTGAAAAATCAGTTCCTAGTCTTATTGATAGTTTCAAATGATTTTCTATTTTTTAGCTCATTAATTTCAGTTCTTGTTTTTATAATTTCCTTTCTTTAGAGGCTGTAGGAATAAGTTGTTATTTTTCTATTTGATTCTATTTGATTTTTATCTATTCTATTTTCTATTTGGTGGTGTTGAGTTAGATCATTCCACTTGTTTTTATGTGCTTGCCTACTGCTATGAACATTCCCCTGAGCACTGCCTTAGCTTCATTTCAGAGGTTTTGTATGTTGTATTTTCATTATCATTTGTTTTGAGGAATTTTTTTTTATTTCATTCTTTATTTCTTCTATATCCCAACTGTGTTCTAACAGGGTATTACTTAGCTTTCGTTGGGTGATTTTATAAGCTTTGTCATCTTGTGGTTAATTTCTAGTTTTATAGCATTTGGACTGAGAAGATGCATTGTATTATTTCAATGTGATTTAATTTGTTGAGGCTTGTTTTGCGTCCTAATATTTGATCAGTTCTGGAGACTGTACCATGTGCACCTTCACAATGTCAAGTTGGTTGAATGTATAGTTTAGAGCTTTGGTATCTTTGTTAGGTTTCTTTTTAGCTTACATATCCTTTGGTAGGAGAGGCTTGTTTATGTCTCCTACCACTCAATTATTTTCTTATTCCTCTTGTGTTCTGGAATTTCAGTCACGTGCATGCTGCTTCTTTTTGAGTCTTCCCACATGATTCTAACAAAACGTCATTTTTTTATGTCATATCTCTGATTTATCTTCTAGTATGTTTCCAGTGATGTTCTTGTTTTCCAGCTCACTGACTCTCTCTTCTATCTCTACTGTTCTACTTTTTTGTCTCCAGCATGTTGACACTTACACCTTTTCAGTCTTAATATTCTGTATTGCATTTTCATGCACTTCTGTTATTTCCAGTTGTTTTGGCTGTATTCTCTCCATTTTGTGATAATTTTTTTAAAAGTTCTTGTACCTATTTATCTATAGTTTCAATTCTTTCTTTCATCTTTCACATTTCCTTCCATAATTATGCAAGTTCTTCCTCATCAATATAGTTCTTCTGGCTTCCTGTCTCTGGAATATTTAGTATCTTAATAGCTTCCATTATTTCTTGCATTATTTGTATTTTCTTCTGTAGCTGGTTCTCTACCTCTAGGTATTCCCTACAAACTTTATTATATAAAAACATATGATGAATGATTTGTACTTTATTGGCACAGTTTTATTTGAGTTACTTTTCAAATTGCCCTGATAATAGCTCAGCAAGGTGTATAATTCTGCTACTGTAAATAATATTTTTTTTTTCCTTTGGAAAACAAACCTATGGAAAATCAGTGTCATTGGTGTGATATACTAATCTCAAGAGACCTAGCACATGCAGAGCTGATAACTACAAAGTGGTTTGGTTTTCCCTGTGATTGGATTTGGAAGTTCTAAGTACCACCTAAGTATTCTTTGAGAAAAAATGTTGGGAAGGAGCCTATTCAAATTTCTATACTCAATAACCAATAACAGGAGATACAGAAGAAGAAGGAAATATTGAGGATAGGGGAATATTTAAAATGGAACTATTCTCAAAGAACTAAACCATCAAATCCAGAATGTATGATTTTTTCAAAAAATAAATAATAATTTTGTTTCTCAAGTAAATCAAAAGAGAAAATGCTATTGTTGACTAAAATTTAAAAGAAGATCTATGAGCTTAGATGGAAAAAATATCTATTTCCATTAGTTCTAAATAAAACTTAGTATTTCCTTCAATGAAGGAGGCAGACAATAAACATAGGCAATATTAGCAGCGTGTATCACTTTGTCACTGATAGGAAAAATACATCTCGGGTATTTTTGTATATTATATACAGAATTATAGTTTAGTACACTATACTTATTGAAGTTGTATCATAATACCATATAAGTTCATGATAGCTTTGGAGTTCTGGTAGTTTTAAAACCTGACACTAGATCTTGTAACTCAATGTTCCTCAGAAATTTCGTTTCTTAGCATTTTGATAAAAATTTTAAATATAGTCTAGTTGGTAATCCTATACATTATATATTAAGCATTTAAAAATATTTCAGAAAGTTTCCCTAGATTTCATCAGACTCTTATTCAATGTACACATGCCTTCACAAACCACCTCTAAATTCTGTGCCTCCCACCACCAGGAAAACCTTCGTATCTTTCCATGAGTATGGATATTTTACTTAGAAGATCATGCTCAAATGAATGTAACTAAATTGAGAGTTCTTTTCACTTTGTTTCGTATTTTTCCATAAGACAATATGTAAACTCTAATGGTTAGAAATGTTTAGTTTCTCACCCCCATTTCACTAAATTCAAGGTAAAAAATATATTTAAATGACCAACTTAATGAACTGGCATCTAAACATCCTACACATCTACCCTTCTCTCTGTGTCTATTCGCTATACACTGAAGTTACTTGAGCTATGGAGGTCTCGTGGGTAAGGAGATGCACTGCCAACTCAAAGGCATGTAGGCTCCAACCTGCCAGCTGCTCACAGAAGAAAAGTGAGCAATCTTCTTCCATTTGATTTACAGCCCCTCAAAATCCACTGGAGGGCCAGTTATGAGTCAGTTCCAGTTCAGTGCATATGGCAACCTTTCATCTACTCTTCTGTCTACTTGACAGTCTCATTCAATAGCTCCCTCTAACCACTGCTTCTCTGACTGTCTCCAATTCCCTTTCCTTCTTCTGCATCAACTATAGATATATGCTGCCAGGATGAACCATTTGCTTTGGTATCCAGTAGCTGTATGACTTTAGGAAAGTTACTCAAATTCTCTATGCTTTCTGTAATATTAAAAATGGCAATGGTTCTGTAAAAAAAAAAACAACAGATGTTTCCATCCATCTGTAAAAAAAAAAAATGGCAATGGTAAAATTTAGCTTATAAATGTATTATTTCTACTTGCTAAGCTAATTTAAAATATCTAATAAAGTGTTACAAATATCATGACTAAAATAATGATTCCTAAATCTAATTTCAAATTTCATCCTATGGAGATTTTTCTCAGGTTAAATCAATTTCTATATACAAAGATTTTTTTATCAGTAACTTGCCAGAATAACTCCTCTTGTTGTGTTAGCTGTTCATTTACATAAATAGTTTACATATATACTATATTTTTACACATTTACTTACCAGAGTAACTAGGCATACACTAAAAATATTGTTATTAATAATAGAAAATAGAAATCATACAGGAAAAATATATTTAATACTAAGGATGTAGTCATTAATTAACCAGGTTTTATTTCTTTATGGTTTCAATAATAAATTTGTTAAAAGAAAATAAAATTATCAAAAGGTAAGTCACTTACTTGCCAAAATCATGGAACAAGAACTGAGAAATCTTATGGCCTTCATGATCCCAGAAAATTGATACTTGGTTTTGGCTTGTGAAGTATTTAAATGTGACAATCTAAACAAATAGTTTTGATCTTGATATTTTTTTTTTTCCCTAAAGAGCCATGAAGAATAACTCAGGCCAAAACCAACTCCTTGAAAGTCTTCTCACAAGAATATCAGTTGCTGAAAATACTGTGTAATGGAAAGACATGAGATTAAAACATAGGTGGCTTGGCTTGGGATTTAATCTAGCTCTCCATTGGCTATGGTAGCCTGGAAGTGTCATTTAATCTGTAAGACCTAAGGGATTTTTCTGTTTGGTTTTTTCTTCTGTTAAATTTTATAGGTCTGGAATGAATATAACAATACTTCAGCAATACAAACATCAGTGGAAAACTTTTTTTTTTTGTCTGACTTGACCTGGATGCATTGGTCCACTAATGGAATTAAGATTAGGTAAAACAAACATTAGATACATTCTAATTCTTCTTTCCGATATAGTTAAAAAAAATGTCAAATTCCTAGTTTTGTGAGTATTTTTAAACTAGTCTTCACTGACCAAAAACTCAATCAGTATATTTTGAGCAGGACTGGTTGAAAAGGTTGATTCAGAGAACAATTCTAATTAACCGAAGTCAGAGATGAACATTTTTAACAATCTCTCCCATTCAGTATCAGTGAAGCATATCAATCCTACATATAAGCCAATGAGCTTTAACATATATGGTGCAACTGAAAAAACTAATTCCTAGAGTTCTCAGGAGGCTATCTGAGAGAATCCTTCTCTTACATTAACAAACCACAGTCAAAAAGTACTAGAGCTGAGAGTTATACTTTTCCGTATATATAATAAGATTTAAAAATTAAGATAATTTAAAAGAAAAGTTTACTTAAATAATTTTAAGTGGAAAGAAACTATCCTGAATAAGAAATAAAAGAACTAACCTTCCACTAATCCATCAAACTAATTGATTAGATGAATTAATGAATTATCATCAGGGGAAGCCTTGTCCTATGTGTCTGAAGTACAGAGGTTTTAGTAAAGAGAGAGAGAGAGAAAGAACCAGCTCTGTATCTAGGAAACGTGGCCCAGGATACCAGGGGCCCTAGAATCTACTGTGGGGCTGGGGGAAGGGGCTGTTTATAATAAATGTCACTGAAAAGCACAAGAAAAGGAAAAAAGCAAAAACAATAGCTGTAGCTGTTTCTCACAATTTTACACAAGAAGATCTTAATCACCTTATGTGGGAAACAGATTCTACTGGCAAATATAGTGCTATTTTCACTGACAACCCCCTAAGAACTCACTTGCTTGTAGTAAATTCTACCTGGACACAGTGGAATTCAGAATGAAACAGAATTCTGCATGCTAGCACCAAGTATTAAGGCCAAGGTATGAACCTAACCTGAACCACACCTTTGTGATTTAAGCAGAGTTGCAGAGGTATGGTACGAAGAAACCTGTAGTTTGTACCCTACTACACATAGTGCTGTCTATACATTTCTAATCCCAGCTACGAAGACTATGACAACAAAATGTCTTGACAACATTGAATCCATAGCTGCAAACCCATGAATGTCTAGTCTTTTAGTGACAGGAGGGCGAGAGCGTGTCTCCAAAAGGATTATAGGGCAGAGATATTTAAAATCTTATTTGTCCAGCATTCATACTTACCATCACAATGTTACTCTTGGTTAACTATCATTTTTACTTTTGGGTTTGTGACAGACCTTGTCAGTATCCTTAAAAATAGTGTCCCACAGTTTATCATATATTTTCAGCTTTGAAGTACCATTCACATGTTCTTACTGTCAAGTCAGAACCTACTTATAGCTGACCCTCCCGTGGGTTTTCAGAGGCAGTTGATTGCATAGGAGAAGACTATCTACTTTTCCCCCACAGAGTAGCTGGTGGATTTGAACTGCATGCCTTTGGATTGTCAACCCAATTCTTAACAATAAGCCACCAGACCTATCTTTTCATATGGATAACGAAATATCCATGTGACTAGTAGAAAGTAAGTTAAGAAATTTTCTCTTTAGCTGCCTTCTAATTACACAGATTAGGAAATACAATACACTGCTTATATGAAGAGAATTATAGAAATTTTTTTAAAAGTGTCACATTCTTATAAATCTGTTTTATCCACATTTCTATATAAAAACACTGGCTATAAATGTATAAATTAGAATTTGCAGTGAAAATGAAAAAGAATGCTTAGAATTCAAACCAAATGAGAAAATCATGGATGTAAGAAATTCCTAGACTTGATTTTATGCACATGGTGGCATATTCGAAAAGGGGCAGAAACAGTAACTATACATTTATTTACTTCATATGAATTATTAAACTATTAATCTTTGTTAGAGTCAAAAAGGAAGTTTTGAAAATGTGTATAGAGACTGAAACACAGGAATACATATAAAATAATGTTTGCATATGTAAACATTAACAAGATCTTTTTAAAAAAAATTAAAATAATGTAATTGGAGATTTCTTCAAACTTGCTGTTACTAATTTCAAGCTTCTTTAAATATTTAGCTCATCTGTTATTTTCACTGAGTAGTAAATAAAATTACTAAATGTGGACTTAAAATTCTCAGTTCTAGTAACATATTTTAAATATTTATTTCTGTTTAATATATTCTGAGAAAGGAACAGATGCATAAAAAGAAATATACAGTGTGATCATATTTTGTTGCAATAATTTCTCTAATCCTTTAGAATAAAAAAAATGGGTTTCTCAAATGCCAATCTTTGTAAACTATGTTAAATCACAGTATATAATAGGAAACCCTAAGAACAATTAAAAAAATCTTACCAAAAGTTTATTAAGACAATGTATCTTAGAAATCCAAGAAAAGTATAATTTTAACATCTTAAAAATTAACAGTGGTACATATTACTAACTTTATAATAATCACCCTTTTTGACACTCCCATCAATATTTTATGCTGATTATATAAAACAGCATGTTTTTAAATATAATTTAACAGCAAATTGCTATTTTAAGCTTATATAAACAGAAATCTTACTATATTCTGTCTCTCATTTTTCATGATGACATATAGATCAGAAACATCCATCAATTTCTAGAAGTTTGTGTATTCAAGTTAGGAAAATCTGATGGTAAGAACATTCTGGATATTAAATCTAAATAAGAAAGATATTGCAGTGGAATATTTAAGAGATCAGCTAATGAAGAAAATAGCTGGATCTAATAATACAACAGATTTGGAAAGAAAGGTCAGCACTAAACTGGAAAGGGCTCCAAACTTCAGCCTTAAATGTCGATGATTCAGGGATGGCAGAATGAGAAGGCAGAATGAGAAGGCAGAATGAGAAAGCAGTCTAGTGACACCCTTTTATAAATCATATTGGAAAAAGAAAATCAATCTTGGCGGGTTTTTAAAATAAGATGCATGAATACAAGAGCAAGGTTCTCTTCTTTCAGACCACTACAGAACTCCAAAAATTCCTTTTATAATATTTAAATAAAGCTTCCTTTAAGTATATATTTTAATAGGCCGAGTGATTATTGTGGGACAGACCACCAAATACTCATATGCAAGTTCAAGCTGAAGTTGAGAAAAATTAAATAAATTTCATAGGAACCAAAATTTGACCTTAAGTCTATCCCACTCGAATTTCAAAACCATCTCAGGAACACGTTTGAGGCCTTGAGCACCAATGAGCATAGACCAAATGAGCTCTGGGAGGATATCAAGAAAATTGTCCATGAAGAATGCAAAAGATCATTACCAAGGCAGAAGAAGAAGAAAAGACCAAGATGGATGTCATATGAGACTCTGAGTATTGCATTAGAGCGACAAGAAGCCAAAGCTAAAGAGAGAAACCAAGAAATCAAAGAGCTGAACAGAAAATTTCAAAAGGCAGCTCGGGACAACAAAGCAAGATACTATAATGAAATGTGTAGATAGCTGGAGTCAGAAAATCAAAAGGGCCAAACTCACTCAGCGTTTCTTAAACTGAAGGAGCTGAAAAACAAATTCAAGCCCCGGGTGGCAATGATTTGGGTAGGATGTTAAGTGATCCAGGAAGTATCAAGAGAAGATGGAAGTAATACACAGAGTCACTGTTTCAGAAGGAATTGGCTGACACAGAATAATTTCATATTAAGAAATAACATATGAGTAAGAGCCTATGGTGATGAAGGAGGAAGTTCAAATTGCTCTGAAGGAATTGGCAAAAAACAAGTCTCCAGGAGTCAATGGCATACCAATCGGCACATTTCAACAAGCAGACACTGCCCTGGGTGTACTTACTAAGTTGTGCCAAGAAATCTGGAGGACAGTCAGCTGGCTGACTGACTGGAAAAGATCAATATTTGTTCCCATTCCAAAGAAAGGTGACCCAACAGAGTGCAGAAATTATTGAACAATATCATTAATATCACATGCAAGCAAGATTCTGCTTGCATTGTCCAAAAAAATTATCCAAAAACATTTGGAGCAATATGTCAACAGAGAACTGCCAGATGTGCAGGCTGGATTTAGAAGAGGTCGTGGTACTAGGGATATTATAGCTAATGTTAGATGGATCTTGGCAGAGAGCCAAGATTACCATAAGAGTGTCTATCTGTGCTTCATTGACTATGCGAAGGGTTTTGACTGTGTGACTCACAATATGCTGTGGCTGACTCTGAGAAGAATGGGAATCCCAGAATATTTGATTGTGCTAATGTGAAACCTATACTTGGACCAAGAGGCAGTTGTCAGAACAGAACAAGGAGACATTACATGGTTCAAAATCAAGAAGGGGGTCTGTCAGGGGTATATTCTGTCTCCATACCTTTTCAATCTATATGCAGAACAGATAATCCGAGACGCTGGACTGTACGAGGAGGAATGTGGCATCAGGGTTGGTGGAAGAATCATCAACAACCTGCGTTATGCCCATGACACAACCCTGCTTGCTGAAACTGAGGAGGACCTGAAGTGCTTGCTGCAGAAAATCAAGGACTGCAGCCTCCTATATGGATTGAAGCTCAACATCA